AGATGTTGTCTCCAAAGTCTCCAGTAGCAGAAAAAAGCCACTAGGTATGGCGCTAGGAGCTTTTTTGAAATAAAAGCACTAGAGGGTTCTGAAATACACCAGTGCCTGAGACACACTTAATATTATAAGCATTCTGATGGCATTTTAATGAATGATTTTTATGAAAAACATAATTAATGTGCACAAATAAGTAATAGCTGTATGGAAAAGGAGTTTTATGGGCCCCCCAGGAACTTGGGGCCCTAGGCAACTGCCTAGTTTTGCCTAATGGTAAATCCGCCGCTGGTTGTGAGCTGTAAAAAATGACATTTCATTTTGTATGCACTCTATTTGTCTAAATCTATTTCCCAGCTCAAACAAAAATAATAAAAAAGTTGTCAAAGTACAGTGAAGTTGATAAAAGCGACAGTGAATGTGGATTTTACAAAGACTGATTATGCTGTTCTGCTGTAACATGCTAATCTAAGGAAGTTCAGACGTTACCTGCTGGTATTCACCTTACCAGTGTTTGTGTGTCAATGTTACTGTTAGCTGCAGTAATTAGTCTTAGTAAATTACTCTATTTTATTTTAAAGCCATTGCTGCCTGCGTATCATTTACAAATAGAAGTATTTTTATTTATTTCTCTTTGTTTCCTTCTTTGTTTCTGTTATAATTTCTGACTTGAATTGAATAAGGACGCTGTTGTTTTGTTTATGTGAACATGGTTGTTCACATAAGGTTTGGTCAACACGCAGAATCCAGCAGGAGTCCGAAAACAGGTCAGGCAAACAGATCAGAACGAGAACAGGCAGGCTTAGAGGGAACGCAGAACGGGTCAGGATCAGGCAATCAGAACACAAACAGGTACGCCAGAGAACTCTAACCAGGGGCTTGAAAAATATGGCACTGATGACTGGAAGCAGGCAGGTTAAATAGAGACTGGTGACACAGATCAGTGGTGATGAGAAACTGGGTGGAGCTACGCAGGTGAATGGAATGACTAATGAAGCCAGGCATCAGTGCCAACATCAAGACAGGTTGTGTAGGAAAGCAGGAAGAAGACCTTCACTTAACAACTGAGGTAGATAGAATTGTACGACGAGTTTCATCTCCAATTTTCATCTGAAAATATGTAAAACTAAGAACTTGTAAAATGGTGCTGTTATACCAAATTGTGACTTGTGGTGTTTCTGTGTGAGGATGAAAAATGGATAAAGGTTTTGAAAGGGAGCCATAAAAAGAAATAGTCTCAAGATGAGCCAAACTAAGGTTTAAAGACAAGCCGGTTCTATCAACAGCAATTAGTCGAATCCCGGCCCGGGCTCTTTCTGCATGGAGTCTGCATGTTCTCCCTGAGCATGCGTGGGTTGTCTCCGGGTACTACGGTTTCCTCCCACAGTCCAAAAACATGCTGTTAGGTTCATTGGCTTCTCTAAAATTGTCCTTAGTTGTGATTGTGTGTGAATGGTTGTGTGTTTCTGTGTTGCCCTGCGATGGACTGGCGACCTGTCCAGGTTGGACCCCGCCTCTCACCTATAGATTGACGGAGATAGGCACTGGCCCCACCGCGACCCTGACCAGGACTAAGCAGGGGAAGATGGAGGGATGGATGGGTTAAATGTGTAGACTGTTCATGTGTGAAGGGAAGAATAAAGAAATATTGATATCTAGAGTGGACCGGTTACTGGATGACTGGTAGACCAAATATGGCCGGCATGGCCTGAATGATGAGGCGATCACCTTCAGTCCCTTACATGGTGATACAGTGACCCATTGGCCAAGAAGATGAGCTCCTTGTTTTCTGGACAGGTTAAAGGAGAAGATGTTTGCTCCTTCGGCCCTCTGGCTCTCCAGATTGCTCCTGAAATCCTGCTTAGATTCTTCATCGCGGAAGACGAGATAAAAATCAATCGCATGACCTGAGAAGGGTGAAATGGAGACCAAATGGAGAAATGACCCAGCCA